AAAAAAAAAAAAAAAATGGAACTCAAATAGAAACTATATATACATTGAAGATGGAGCTTGAAAGGTAAACAGAATCCATTGAAGAAAATTGTAGTTCATAATGTAGGGGAAGCTCTAATTTAAGTCATAGGAACTAGATTTGCGTATTTTCAAGAGATTCTTTATTTATAAAAAGCATCTTATATATTATAAAAATATATTAAAATTTAGGGAGTCAAAATTTTTATACATTTTAAAAAGATCTCTTTTTTAGCTCTTCATTTTATTTTTCTCAAAAAATATTTATTAATTTTTTTAATTTAGCAAAATTTTTAGAATTATGCTAATTGTACATCCCCAAATAACATTATGAATAACATTGTGTGATGTGTGAAAAAATTGTGCTATTGATTTTAATAACCCTTATTAAAATCCAATTGTCCGGAGTGTTTCCACGTCAAACAATGCCATCCATGATATCAAATTTAATGTACCTGTAACAAAATTAAAATTTTTACATGTAAATTAACCAATCAATTTAAATGTAGTTTGAATAATTTAAGAAATAGAGAATTGAAAAAATTGATTCATCAAATGCAATTGTTGTACATTTAAAATAGAGAATGAGTTTGATTCTCAAAATTTGGAGAGTCAAACTCACTCTCTACTTTAAAAAGTTAAAATAGAGTCTTTTAGAGTACATTTTAAGCATTATAAAATAAAGAGTATTTTGTATTTAGATAGTTTCTTGGAGATACTCTTAAATTACACAATGGGCCTATACTATAGTGTGAAAGTCAGACTTCTACCGACCATCTGTAGGGATGTCAATGAATCGAAACTTGGAGCTCGAGCAAAAATGGTTCGGACTTTTTTTGGCACGAACCGAGCTAGCAAAAGTTCGGCCAAAAAATGAAAGTTCGACCCGAGCTTTCAGCTAAGGGCCAACTCATTTTTTTTGGTGAAAAATATAATTTTTTTTTTAAGAATTTAAACGAGATTCGGCTCGTGCTCGCCATCGACTCGACCCGAGCTTTCCTGAGTTGAGTCACTGACTATCCAAATTGACGAGTCATTTTGACATTCCTAGCCAACTGCTCTCTCATACACACACCTTTCAATTTCAAAACTAACAAATCACTACCCACCACCCAATTCTGCCCACTTTTCATTTTGAGTTTCCGAAATTCAATCCTCATCCTTACTTAACGCCGACAATTAACCTCACAATTATCCAAATTCTTCATTGGTAGGTTTTAATCATTTTCAACTAACATATTGAAATAATTACCAATTAGTCAAATCGAGTGACAAAAATTTACATTGACAGTTAACCTACTAACAATAATTTTACGTCTTTCAATTATAAATTTATAACTAAAAGAGGGATTTTCATTTTTTCTTTTTTTGGAAATTGAGAAAAAGTTAAAAAGTGAAATTGACGTGAATTTATTTGAGCTTCCATTCTACCAAATTTACAAATAGTCGAACTTAATTTTAAACGTACATCCGTTTGACACCCATTTTCTTTTCATTCTCTTTCTCTTTTTTTTTTTCTATTTTTTCATTTCAACCGCACATTCTGTCAATAAAATAATATTACACATAAATCCAAAAATTCTCATTACTTTTTAAACATACATTCTTTTATTAATCACTGTTCCAGAATTTATTTTACAATTATCGCGATCAATCAATTCTCAGTTTTATAATTTTAATTTTAAGAAGATTACAGTTTTGGTAGAGTAATTTAGCCCATATTTGGTAGATATTTATTTTTATAGTGATTTTTGTGGAAAAGGAGATGATTAAAATATACAAAAAATTATAAATTCTAACAAAATTATTTTTATTAAGAGATTAAGAGAAGTGGGATGATGTGTTTGTCTCCCATTACTTGGAGAAAAATAGAGTAATGAATAGTATTTAATTGGAGAATGTATTGTTGGAATTTAAAGTAACTTTATTGATTTGTGTGTATAATATTTTATTGGGTGAATGTTTGGTAGAAAATCTTACTATAGCAAACAATTTTTTGAAATAATGGTTGACAAACATAGGCTAAAAATTATTCTAAATTTTTTTTAGCCCATGTTTGATCTACATTATTTTTCTCATTTTCATTCTTTTACTCATTTTTAACCACACATTTTTTAATAAAATAATATTTTCCATCACATCAATAAATTTTCATTCTTTTTCAACCACATATTTCTCATTACATCAACAGTAAAAATACATTCTTACTTCCAAAATGTGAACTAATGGGGTGTTTGACACAAATTTTAGTAGAAAAATGTGTTTTTGAATAGTGATTGATGGAAGAATGTGTGGTAAAAAAGTAAGAAGAATTTTTAAGTTTATGTGTAATATTATTTTATTGATAGAATGTGTGGTTGAAATGAAGAAAGAGAAAAAGAATGAGAATGAGAAAAAAATGAGTGCCAAACGAGGGCTAAACAGGAGCTTTAAAATTCAAGTGCAACTATAATTCAGAAAAGAAAAATCAAAAGAGAGAAGAAAAGATAACGTCCGATGACGCTCATACAAAAATTCATTTTTTCAAAATTCATTTTCAATCACATATTTTTCAATAAAATAATATTACACGTAAATTTAAAATTTTTACAGCCCATATAAATTTGCAGCAGTCCGTGATTAATGGTTTCGAGATTGAAGTCTGACCAGAGAGCTGAAAGAGGAAACAAAAAGGAGAAATTGCTGTAAGAAAACATTCTATTCTTAGAGAGAGAGAGAGTCGTGGTCACGTTGGGTTTCAGGTGGAGGTGGTGCTCGGAGATCTTGTCAGCCAGATCGGAAGCAGAAAGAAGAAAAAAATTCGTTTGTAAGATTTTTTTTGTTATTAATTGTTTGGTAGCCCTTTCATTCTCAACCACTTCATGCACGTCCTGAGTTTCGATCTACTTGTTGCCTTGTCAATTATTTCCCTTTCCGCATCTATCTCTACCTTCGTGCCCGCTGCTGAGCTACTCTTCTTCCGGTTCCTCTCCCTCTTAATCTCTGTATAAATATTTGTATGTTCAAAAAATATATGTAAAATTTCGTGGGAGCTCGATATATATCTTGGTATTTTTCGTTATGCTGAAGCGGGGAGAAAAATGAGGGATTTGGGCTTTCAGTCTGATGCATGCAAATTTTTTTTTTTTAATTTTATATTTTCTCGTGGGATTTTTAATATAATTTTGGTATACGCGAGTGAAATTAAAAGTGAGATTTTTTTGGAACAAGTTTGAATTATGTTTTTCTTTTCGATTTTTGCTACATTTTACTGGGCCTTATAATGCTTTCCCAGCTTTTAAATTATATTTATTTGGTGTTATAGTTAGATGATGGGTTGAATTTCTGTTGCTTGATGCTCTTGTGAAGCTGGTCAATTAGCAATAATATTATATGATTAATCCTCTCTCAAATTTATTTTGAATTTCAGTTTAGAGTGAATTTCTTTTTCGATGATATCTTCTGATGAGGGCTTTATAATCTCATCTCCTTTTCTTTTTGTTTCTGCTTTAGATTGAATGGCTATTGTCCCTTTGAACTTGTTCTGGGCTATTAAGAAAGGGTATCTTTTGCCACGGCTTGAATGTTTCTTTGCTGGTTTCATTTATGTTCACATGCAAAATTCTTAGGACTGCAATAGTGTTTAAAGAATCGGAAGGGCTCTTAACAACATTTCAGATACTTGAAATGGGTTCCAATTTCTTTAGATGTCATCATGTCGCTGATGGTCAAAGGAACGGATAGTGCAACAGATTGGCGTGTGTTATTGAGCCTTATTGGCATTGAAATTGATGTTTTTCCAAATGGGGCCACTTTCAGATTGATGGAAGTGTAACTATGCAATGAGCAACACATCCCCTGCCCACGAACGTTTTTCTCTAAGTCCACACTCTTTTCTTTTATATTTTTTTGTTGGTTGTGCTCGTGTGAGGGACTTAGGGTCCGGTTGCTCGCAAAGTTCTAAATTTTTTAGCGTTGTTTAATATGACACAGCCATTATGCCTTTCTATGAGATATAATAAAATATGGATTTCTTCCAAACTATGGCAACTTGGTGGCCTTTTTTTATTTATTTGGTGGCATGCATTGTTTATTTCAATAGTTGGCACTAGTTCCACATTCCTGTTTAGCATCTCCACTTTAATATGTCGATAGTCTCTCTCCCAATCATGCGCGAAAGGATGGAACCTTCTTTATTTCCTCTATTGAAATTCTTATATGTAATCTTATGAAACACCATTTAACATTACAGAAAATGGAGATTTATGATTTAAAGTAATTCATTTTCATGCTCTGCCATAAATTCATGCAGGCAGATGGGGAGGGATGTTACAGGTTTACGCATTGACAAGAAATCTGATGCTGTCAATGCAAAGTCAAACGGTACCTTTCATGGTGCAGTTCATGTTGCTCCTAAAGTTGTACCAGAAAGAGATGAAACAAAGGGCTATGAGGCAGTGGATCATACTGCAAAAGGCACACCTGCTGATGAAAGTAATGAGAAGCAAGATGTACTAGGTCTGAAAAGCATAAATCATGAGCCCGGGAAGAAAATCTTGAAGGCTGAGACTCAGAAGTCAAGTGACAAAAATTTAAGCTATCTAGTTAAGCCTGCATCAGGGTCTTCTGTTAATGGGACAGTGAATATGAATTCTTTGGAGCCGCTGACACCTGGTCTTGAGTCTGGGAAACGAACTTCATTCCCGAACCATGCCAATGGTATTGAAACTGTTGATTCTGGTTTACAATATCTATCAAAGACTAGTGATTTACATTCCCCGACAACCGCAAAAAAATCACTAGTAAGTCTGTTCTTTCGATACTGTCATATTTGTATCTCTTTCCTAGCCTACTGTTTTTATTTCAACAAAAAGAATTAAGAGCTTGTTTGGTAGGGATTTTTGGGGGAAGATTTGATTTTGAATAGTAATATGATGAGATATGTGTGGTTGAAAAAGAAGAAAAAATTATTGATGTGATGGAAAATATTATTTTATTGAAGAATGTGTGGTTGAAAATGAGAATTAATTTACTGTAGAAAAATCAAAATCTCTCCCAAACAGGGCCTAAGTTTCTTAAGAACTCCGTGTCATCAACTTCATCCAAGTCATCCTAGCTGGGAGGAAGTTAATAACGAGCCTAGAAGTTTAGGATGTGTTGAGTATAAAGTACTCGTCACCCTATCCAATATAATTATCTAGGAGGCATGATAAGTAGGGGTGTTAAATGGGGCGAGGGAGCTGCTCGGCTCGCTCAACAAAAGTGCAGCTTGGCTCACCCCACGAGCTCTCCATTAGGTGGGTCAAGCCAAGCCATTGGCGAGCTGGCTAGTTGCTCACCTCACTTAACACCCTAATGATAAGTTGGTTTTGCTCTAATAGTTCATAGAGCAGAATGCTGTCTTTTGTTAAGTTACACTGGTAAGAAGTTTGGAAGGAGAGAACAAATCATCATGACTTTTGCAGGACCAAGCAGACTGTCATCTTTCCAGGACAACGTTCTCATGCAACCCTTATTGCCTATAAATCATGGAGCATTTTGGCACAACACTGGCCATGTAAAATGTCGTTCTAAATTGGTATAGTGTCTGACTAATAACACAACATTGGCCATGTAAAATGTGGTTCTAAATTTGGTATGGTATCTGACTATTAGCACAACATTGGCCATGTAAAATGTGGTTCTAAATTTGGTATGGTACTAATAATAGATTCATGTTACACGAGGTTAGGTTTATATGTAGATTAATATGCAATAGTTAGAGATATTTTGTTGGCTGGACATTTGTATTTAGTACTGAGGTTGCAATTCCAATTTTTTCAGCCATATTCTCCTACTGTGTCAAGCAAGACACCGCAAACTGATGACAAGAAATATAATGATGAAGATGATAATTGGTCCTTGGCTTCCTCGTATCCTCTTTATTGGTTTAAGGTTATTATTATTATTATTTTCTGTTATCAGATTCTTTCTTTGTTATTTTGAGTTAGTTTGTGTCCTGGTATTTCGTGTGCTCTTGCAATTGGAGTTCTCCTTATCATTCATAGTACTGCAACATCTGTACGTAGTAAATCCAGAGTTACAGTTCCAGTGGCTCCAACATTTAGATGTATGGAGCGTTTAGAGAGACGCAAGGAGGTACTTTAGTTACAAAATGTAGTTCATCGTGTGATCTGTTTTCATTTCTTTTCCTTTTAGCATTTATTTTTTTATTCTTGATGCCATCTTCCGTTGTAGTTTTACACTAAGTTGGAGGAAAAACATAAAGCGCTGGAGCAAGAGAAACTTGAATATGAAGCAAGAACCAAGGTACGCCTCTCCTTGCATGGCATGACCAATTTTCTTCACCCATTATATTTTTGGTTTTGGATCCAATTTTTTTCCTCGCTTGTCATGTGCATATCTGCTACATTGGTCTTTGTTATTCTTCTCTCTCCCTCTTAATCTTCTAGTTATTATAAAATGTATCCTTTTATCCTAATTGGCAGGAAGAAGAAGAAGCAACTATAAAGCAGCTTAGAAAGACCATGGCATATAAAGCAAATCCAGTTCCTAATTTTTATCGTGAAGGCCCTCCCCCAAAGGTTGAACTTAAGAAGGTACATGGAGAATCCACCTTTGTTTCCATTACTTTGAAGTGTTTGATTGCTATTTTTTTCCATGGAAATATTTTCCTACTTTTAAAATTATGCCTAATTTTCCTTGTTTTTAAGGACGACATTTTCTTTGGAGGAAGTAGGTTTTTGTTTTCCTCAAAACAAGGAAAATATTTTCTTTTCTAGGATATATTTTCCATGCCAATCAAACACATTCTTAAATGTTGTCCAATAATCTATTATATTTATTGCTTCCATAAACCTAAAACGGAAATAAAAATACCTTTTTTGGTTGAATTTCAGCTGCCAGTGACACGTGCTAAATCACCAAATTTAACCCGGAGAAAGAGCTGCAGTGATGCAGTGAAATCATCTCCAGTGGAAAAGGGAGCTTGTGCACGGGCAACTCGTCAAAGCATAGGCGTTTTCAGGGAAAGCAAACCCTCCCCTACAAGTATAACTCCCAAAAGCAAGAGTCGGGTTGGTGTTCGCAATGTGAATGCAACGAGCAAAGTCAAGGATCGCCAGCAACGAGTGAAAGAGACTACAGAAAATTCCCACGCCAGAGGTCAGGGGAACGATGATGTTGGTGTCGAGTCATGAAAAATTACCAGTCTTGTGTAGTTTTAGTTTTATATGTAGTACGAAATGGTGGTCATGTTTTTTTTCTTTCGGTGACTTGTCAAGAGATGTCCAAATTCTGAGTTGTATATTTCTCTATAATTTATGATGTTTAATGTGTGACATATAAGAATTACCCTGGACATGTTTTGCTTGGAGATATTATCCTATAGAACTTTTCTTTTTTGCATCGTCTGTGTATTACTTTCGACTACTTTGTTTCTTAAAAATAAAAAATTTGAAGATTACACACTTGTAAGGAAAAAGTTGCGTAACGTAAGTGAAATGAAATTATGGCACAATGATGCAATGACCCAATGGGTTGAAATTGTTGGCCCAGCCGGAATTTAATTGAAGCCCAACTTATTAAATCTGTTGGTTTTTCGGTGCAAGGGAAAAGCGTATTTCTGTGAAACTGAAGTTGTGTTTTCTACTTACCTTTTGAATGGACGGCCTGGATGTCACCAAGTGCAATCACCACAGCCGTTGGATGAATGACACTTTAGGAGACTCATAAAAGGCGTCTCTAGGGTTTGAGATTCTTCTGGCTTCTGACTCTTCGATTGTTCTCTCTATTGCGCCGTTTCTCTCGTATTTTCATCTTCGCTGTAGAAATCAAATATTCTCATTTGATTTCTGATTTCCCTCAAATAGTGTGTAAATCTTGAGTGATTTCGTTGTTTGAGGGTTGGTTCTTGTGTGAACCGTGTGTTGTGAAGAGGGATATCTTATTTTGTGTAATAAATCTGTCTAGTTTGAGTGTCTACTTCTTGTATTCTCACTTTGGCTGTGATTTGCACTAGATCAGTGGTTGTTCTTCAGTAAGCTAAGCTAGTCGTACTGTTTTCTTGATTTGGATGCTTCAAGAAATAAAGAAGAGTCCATTTTCAGTTTACTTTATTGATTCTTGTTTTGTCCATTTTATATTTGCACATATATTCTGTTGATTCATTTACTAATCAGTGTTAACTCCTCCCAACAGTGGTATCAGAGCGTTTGGAAGGAGCTCTTGACTGAGTAGTGCTCGATTCTTGACTGATACTACAAACTTGAGCTGCTCTGCGTTATTTGCTTGAAACCCTAATTAAAGGGGCTTGGTGAGATCTTTACAGTTTGTTAGGTTATCACGTTTTCTATCTAGTTATATATTGTGTTGGGTGTTCTGAATCTGATCTGGTGTCTGACCTTGTGTGGTTATACTATCTGATTGATTATATTACCCTATTAGTTACTGTCTTGGTTGATTTTCTGTTTATTGAGATTACTGCATTGATTAAGTGTTCTGCCTTGTGAAGTGTATTCAATTTTACATTTTGAAAACCTGAATCAAAGACTCCTCGTAATTCCTTTGTCCAGAAACCTTGAGTTGTCTGGAATATGAGGGTTACTTGGACAAAATTCGAGATTCTTGTTATTTTTGTTTACTGAAAATCACTTTGCAATATTTTTTTCAAACCTGATTGAATTCTGTGATATAATTCTGAAAGTGTCTGCTCTCTGTACTTGTAATCTGTATACTATATTGTGTCCCTTGTGTGGTGATACCACTCTGATCTGCATTGCATGATTTCTGGTTTAGTGTCTGACTGACATGCATACATCAATTTCATTAAATTTTTTCAAAGATGATTTCAAAATTTGAAATGGAAGTTTTTAATGGCAAATGAGACTTTAGTCTCTAGCGTCAGAAAATGAGAGTTCTTTTACTTCAATAAAAATGTGTTAAAGCCATAGATGAGTTATGTCCTACTGATTTTGAATATAGTAAAGTGACTGAACAAGATGAAACCAC